GGGAGTAGGGAGGGAGGGGAGAAGAAGGAGGTAGGGGAAGGGAGGTAGGAAAGGGGTAAGGGGGTAGGGGAAGGGTGGGAGGAAAGTAAGGAGTGAGAAGGGTGGGGAGGAAAAGGGTAGGGAGGGAGGGAGGGGAAGAGGTAGAGGAGGGAATGGACGGGGGGGGGGGGAGAAGCAACATTCCTACACAAACAAACTAATCTTTTACGACCATATAAACTGCGCGGGGGCACGTGCTTTTTAGAAAGGGGGGGGGAAGGAGAGGAGTGGTAGGAGGGGTAGGGGTAAATGGGAGGGGGTGGCGAGAGACTACCTTTCTGACTCTACAAACCCTTCCTCCCTTCAAATCTCCTCCTAACCCCAAATTCTTTCCTTCCTCCTCTTCCCCTCCTCTCCTCCTCCCCCCTCCTCCTTATTCTCACACCACCACCTTCTTCTCTTTCTCCTTCTTCTCTCCTCTCTTCTCCTTTTTTTCTCCTCTCCTCCACCCCACCTCTCCTTCCTCCCCTCCTCCTCCTCCCCTTCCTCCTCCCCCCCTCCCCCCCCCCCCCCTTGCCACCTTTCCCGAGCAGCACTTAAGCGAAGGAAACAGACAAACAAACCAACACATACATCCGGGGCTTAAAGGCACAGCCTGTAACAGCCATAACCTCGAGGGAGAAACTACTGCCCGGTTTTCTTTTCCTCTTCCCGCGCGCCAAAGTCGGTGTTTCAGATGCTTTTCTTTCTTTTTCTTTTCTTTTCTTTTCTTTCTCGCTTCTCGCCTCTCTCTCGCTTCCTTTACTCGCCTGCCTGTCTGTATTTTTTTTTTTTTTTTTTGCTTGCCTCTCTCGTTTCCCTCCCCCCCCCCTCTCTCTCTCTCTCTCTCTCTCTCTCTCTCTCTCTCTCTCTCTCTCTCTCTCTCTCTCTCTCTCTCTCTCTCTCTCTCTCTCTCTCTCTCTCTCTCTCCTACCGTCTGAAAAGCGAGAAACATGCATATATTCCTCGTCATTTTTTTCCCTTCCTCCTTCCCCAGTTAAGCCAATCTTTTCTCTTCGTCGTATTTCTATTTTCAACTTCCTTCCCCTCACGTTTCTTTAAAATCTTCTTCTTCTCTTGTTCGGACTTCTCGCCTTCTGCTCAGCCCTCTTCCCTTTTCCTCTTTCCTCCATCTCCTTCACACATTCCGCCTATTCCCTAGTCTCCTCCTCTATCCCTCTCCGTCCTCCCTTCACCTCTACTCCTCTCCATCTTTTTCTCCCCCCCCTATCCTCTACACCTCCATCTCTTTTTCTTCCTCCTCTATCCTTCCCTCTCCTCTTCCACCTCCGTCACACCTTCCCTTTTATCCCGGCCTCGTCCTCCTATTCCTTCCCCTCCACCTACCTCCGTTTCCGTCTACACCTTCTACCTCCCCCTCCCTACACCTCCACCTCCTCCTCCTCCTCCTCCCTCCCCTCCTCCTCCTCCCTCCTCCTCCCATCCTCCCCTCCTCCTCCTCCTCCTCCTCCTCCTCCTCCTCCTCCTCCTCCTCCTCCTCCTCCTCCTCCTCCTCCTCCTCCTCCTCCTCCTTCTCCCCCCCCCCCCGTGCTAATCCAGCGTGCCACCTCCTGAAGCAGGCACAGGCCACGACAGAAAGTGTTTCCTCGGCGCCTCAAAGCAGCTCCCTGCCTCAGCCGCCGCCGCCCGATCTGTCACACGTCTTGGGCGAGAGGGCGGTTCTCGGTGACATTTCGCAAAGTCTCTTCTGGTGGGAGGAGAGAGAGACGGGGGAGGGGAAGAGGGGAGAGAGAAGGAGGGGGGAGGAGAGAAGGAGGGGGAAGGAGAGAAGGAGGGGAAGGAAGGAAGGAGGGAAGGGGGAAGGAGGGAGGGAGAGTGAGGAAGGAAGGGTTGGAGAGGGAAAGAGAGAGAGAGAACGGGAGAGAAGCAAGGATACTTTTTTTTACTTTGACAAGTTTAAGGGAGGAAGAATGAGAGAGAGAGAGAGGGGGGGGGGGGTGGAGGATAAATAAAGAACTGAAGAAAGAAAAAATCAAACCCAGACGAAAGCACCCATCCCCCGACGCCCCCGCAAGCACCCCAAATAAACCAGCGAGAGGGGCGCAGGCATGAAATAGGGGCGGCCGACCCTCCTAGATCACTCGCCGGGGCCGACACGCGCCGCCCTAAGTCAAACCCGGAGAGCCAGCCCACCAGCGCCCGCAGACGCCGAGCGGGGGGGGGAAGGGGCGTCCGAGACAAACATCTTGATGGCCGACACACGCCCATCTGTCTGGCTCCTCTCTCTTGCCCACGACTCTCGCCTGCTTGCTCGCTTTCTCGCCTTTTTGGCTCGTTTTTATTCTTCCATTCGTCTCTGTCGCTTTCTCATTCTCGTTCTCTCCTCTCCCCTCTCTTCCTCTCCTCTCCCTCTCCCTCTCCCTCTCCCCTCTCCTCTCCCTCTCCCTCTCCCTCTCTCTCTCTTTCCCTCTCACTCTCTCTTCTCTCTCTCCCTGCCCCTTCTCTTATCATCTCTCCTCTTCTTCTCTCCCCATTCTTCACTCCCTCCCCGTTTCAGTCTGAAGCGGAGAGGGAGATTGCACGCGGGATAAATCACGCTGGAATGTTCCTTTTACAAGCACTCGTCTCGCCTCCCTTTTCTCCCTTTCCACCCGCCCTCCTCCTGCTCCTCGACTCGCTCTCTTTCTCCCTATTTCCTCCTTCCCTCCCTTCACTCACTCCTTATCTCTCCTATCCTTCCTTCCTTCCATCCTGCCTCCCTTCCTTCCCCTCCTCTCCCCCATTCTCCTCCCCACCTCCTCCCTCCCTCCCTCCCTCCCTCCCTCCCTCTCCTCCTCCCCCCCCTCCTCCCCCTCCTCCCCACCCCTCCCTCCCTCCTCCCTGCCCGATCCAGCGTGTAAGCTAAGCCCTCACGTCGAAGTAAATCTGTCCGAGGAGATCGCTCGGGCTCGCCTCATTCACTTCGCTCTCATTCCGAGGGAGGGAGGGAGGGAGGGAAGGAGAGAAGGGAGGGAGGGAGGGAGGGAAGGGAGGGGAGGGAAGGAGGGAGGGAGGGAGGAGTGGGGGAGGAGGAGAAGAGAGGAAGGTGGGGAAGGAGGAGGAGAGGAGAGGTTAGGTAGGGAAGGAGGAGGAGGAAGAAGAGGTTAAGGTGGGGAAGGAGGAGGAGGAGGAGGAGGAGGAGGAAAGAAGAGGTTAAGGTGGGGAAGGAGGAGGAGGAGGAAGAGGTTAAGGTAGGGAAGGAGGAGGAGGAAGAAGAGGTAAGGGTAGGGAAGGAGGAGGAGGAAGAAAGGTTAAGGTGAGGAAGGAGGAGGAGGAGAGGTTAAGGTGGGGAAGGAGGAGGAGGAAGAGGTTAAGTGGGGAAGGAGAGAGAAGAGGATAAGGTGGGAAGGAGCAGGAAGTAGAAGAAGGAGTAGTTGGAGTAGGATTAGGATTAGGCAGAGAAGTAGTACGAAGACAGAGATACAGAGGCGTAGGGAGAGGGGAGGGATAGAGGAGCAGGAGGAGCAAGAGGAGGAGGAAGAGGCGGAGGAGGTTGTTATCGCAGCCTCGCATGTCGTTCATTTATTTTATGTTCGCGGCGGAGATAAATCGGGAGCGGGAGGCGGGGCCGCGCGGCGTGCAAGCGGCCACCTGACGCAGCCGGGAGATAGCCCCGTCGCCGCCGCTTAACGCCGACGCCGAGCCTCTCGAGGGGGAGGGGGAAGGAGGAGGGAGGAGGAGGAGGAGGAGGAGGAGGAGGAGGAGGAGGAGGGGAAGGAGGAGGAGGAGGGAAAGAGAGGGAGGAGGGAGGAGGAGGAGGAAGAATAGGGAGAGAGAGAGAGAGAGAAGAAAGGGACGATAGAGAGAAAGGATGATATTGGAGAAATGGTAAAGAAGTGTGGGTGTAAGGAAGGAGAAGGAAAGACGACGGGAATAGGGAGATAGGAAGGAGAAGGATGAAGAAGGAGAGAGTGAGTAGCAGTAGATAAGGGGAGGAGGAGAAAGGAGTAGACAAGGAGAGAGAGAGGCAGGGAGATGTGGAGTACAGCAGACAAGACAGAAAGGAGACTGAACGCCCGGAGCATCATCTTAAAAACCCAATCTCCCGGATAATAAAGTCGATACGACCCCCCCCCCCCCCCCCACACACACACACACAAAAAAAATCATTCAAAGTTTCTAGCTATTTCCCTCCCGTCTTCTGGCCGAGTCCGTCTGTCTGTCTCTCGGCCGCCGCTCTCTCTGCTCGCAGGAGAGACCGCGACGCTTCGACCCGCGATAACGAAGCACCTTTTCGAAACCGCTCCCCCGCCTCGACCCCGGTCCCAGTCCAAGTCGACGTCGATGAAACCCGCGGTTCCCAGTCGAGTCCACGTCGATGAAACCCGCGGTTCTCAGTCGAGTCCACGTCGATGAAAACCGCGGGTCAGTCGAGTCCACGTCGATGAAACCCGCGGTTCTCAGTCGAGTCCGCGCCCTATCAACCCTCACTTCCCAGTCCAAGTCGACGTCGATGAAGCCCGGGCCTCACTCCCCGCCCCCCCCCCCATCCCCCCGCGCGGACGAGGCGTGTGAACAGCCCCGACGGTGAACACAAGCTCCCAAGACGTGGGAAATCTGGCTAAAATGGCGACCACCTGTTGCTGCGTCTTTGTTTGCCGAGCGTTTAACCCGAGTTCATGCACAAATCTTCCGCAAGGAGCAAGACGAGGCGGTGGTGGTGACGGCGAGTGCGGGTGGGGGCTGTGGGCGCGGGGGTGGTATGGGTGAGGTGAGGGGTCGAGGTGGACGTGGCATGGGAAGGTGGGTGAGAATGGGGAAGTGGGGGTGCGGATGACTCGGGGAAGACTTAAGGAGCAATGAATAACAATAAATAAGCTGAAAACAGCCATCTATCCGAGCATAAATAAACATCTGGCCTCAACCAGATCATCAGTGAGCCAAGAAAAGGAGAGAATCGCCTGAACAACCCATCCAAAACAACACAGACCGAAAACGAAAACAACTTTCAAAACAAAAAGAAACTCCCCGAGGTGACTTACCTTCTTGAGCGAGCCGGTGGTCGTCCCGAGGAAGAGGACGGTGTGGTGGGCGGTGGTGGCCGCCTGGACCGCCGTCAGGCTGGTGTTGCGGTACAGCAGCGCCGCCCGCGAGTGGATCGGGGACACGCCCGAGATCTTGAGGCCGACCTCGCAGAAGTTGAAGATGTTGCCCATCGTCTGCAAAGGAAGAAGAAATTCATTAGATGGGGTCTTGTTACACTGTTAATTAATTAATTAATCGTTACACTGTTTCCTATTCATTCATTAGTCTAAATGGCCGGAAACCATCAACAGCTACGACGGATCAATCAATTACGGAGGATCGGGCCGGCCCTTCAATCCGGCCAGACAAGCGACAAACGAGGCCCGGCGCCCGCATGGTGGCGCCGGGCCGGGTTCCCACGACGCCGTTATAAAAACAATAAGGTGCAATAAAATCAATCACGTGTAACCATCGCCAGGAAACGATAATGGCCGTTGAGTCGGGCGGCCTCGGCGCTGCCCTAACGACGCGCCATCGATCACGCTAACTAGCGAACAGCCAATAGCTGTCCCGGAGAACAAAGGCCGGTTCGCGGGCGACACTCGTTCGTCATCGCGACACCCGACAAGCAACTCGTGACCGAACGCGCCCTTCCTAATTAGCCGGCGCCTCGGATCGCCCGCCGGGAACGCCGCCCGAGACCCGAGAACGCCCTCGCCCTCGCTCGCCCACGGCCACGGCGTGCGAAGCGGGCGAAGGGGAGGGCGACGCCCCCCGCCGGGACGGCAATGCCCGACGCGTCACAGCGCCGTCGGGACGCATAAGGATGGAGTCGGTGCTTTTGGATACGTCCCTTGGGTCGGGCCTCCCATGCCCCATGCCCCCGGCACCCGGACGCCCCTCCTCCCTGGCCTTCACCCCTTCCCCAGGCCGCGCTCGCCCCATTACCCGCCCCGCCCCCCTTTTCATCTCCCTGCGGCCGCAACCCTATCTATGGCCGCGAAAAAAGGACCGGCGGCCCTTCACCCTCTGCATCCCTCCGACTCCGCCCCCGACATTCAGCGGCGCGTCAACGGCCCCCTCCCCTCCCGTCCCCGCCCGCCGACCGCCCGAGACAACCCACGCCCTTCCCTCACGCCGCACCTGGAACACACGTCCGCTGGCCGCCCTCTCCTGCGCCGCCCCGCCGCGCCGAATCGCTCATGGCCAGCACCTGATCGCCGGGCCATGTTTGGCTGTGCATGGCCCCGGCCGCGCAGCGCGAAGGTAAGAGTGGCCATGGAGCCGGCGTGTTCATGAACAAACAAGAGACAAGCCCTGCTCTTTACCCAGCAAATATTAGCTCTCCTCCTTCATTGTCCAAACCAAACTGCAGCTGGGATCTGGCACCTCCTACCCCTCCTCCCCGACCCCCGCCACCTCGCATCTCTACCCATACCCATACCCCGCCCGTCCCCCTGCTCCCTTCCTCCCCCCCCCCCATCCTCGGAGACATTTGCTCGCACCAGGAGTTTAAATGTTGGCGCTCATCGGCCCGCACTCAAGGGGAGACTTCGCAAATCCTCCTTTTTCGCGGAAAGCACACACCGCAAGCCCGCCATTAAGAGAGCCTCCACAAAGACGGGACGCGCGAGAACGTCGCTTCAAGTGAGTAAGTAAAAGAAAATGGAAAAAAAGGAAACAAAAATAAAATACCAAAAAGGCAAATACACACACAAAGATCTCAAAAAAAAAAAAAAAAAAAAAAAAAACGTAGATTAATCGAGCTGCCTCCAGACTCCCAGGCTCCGGCGGCGAGCGAGCACTCCGTCACGTCCCCGCGCCTTCCCTGGCCGTCGCCGTCACCTCGCGCAAACACTCCCGGCGGCACTCGCACTCCGCGCACTCAGCGCCTCCAGAGTAAATACCTGCCGGAAAGTACATAGGACGCCTTGGCTTCATATTTCGCGGGCAAACACATCCACGAGAGCACAAGCACCCTGTCCCCTTCACGCTCCCCTTCCGAACGGACGTGTACACACATAAACGCTTAGAAACAAATACGCAGGCATATAGGTGCTTGTTTGTTTTTTGTGTGTGTTGAGTGTGTGTGTGTGTGTGTGTGTGTGTGTGTGTGTGTGTGTGTGTGTGTGTGTGTGTGTGTGTGTGTGTGTGTGTGTGTGTGTGTGTGAGAGAGAGAGAGAGAGAGAGAGAGAGAGAGAGAGAGAGAGAGAGAGAGAGAGAGAGAGAGAGAGAGAAGAGAGAGAGAGAGAGAGAGAGAGAGAGGAGAGAGAGAAGGAGAGAAGAGAAGAGAAGAGAGAGAGAGAGAGGCACACAAATACAAAGATCGCCCGCCTCCAGTAACGACAAGAACGCCACGCGGTTCGACCCCGCGCCCACCGAGCTGCCGCCGCCCGCGCGCCCACCGTCCCGCTGGCGCTCCAGGTAGGCGCCGCCAAAGCCCGCGCGGCGACGCGGCGCCCGTGCCTATCCACCCATAAAGCCTCATCCCTCTTAATCCGCCTTTATCAATTAGGAAGTGTTCGTATAAAAACGCCGGCGCCGCGATAAGCCCTTCTGGCTCTTGGGCCCTCCTCGCGCAAGGGGTAAATTCCTCTGCGATCAGCGCCAAGAGGCCGTGTGATGGCATCTACGTCCCCTTCCTTCCCTCTTCCTCTTCTAAGCCACTTCCCTTCTTCCTTCTCCTTTCCTCGTCTTCACCCCTCCTTTCACTGCTCCTTCGTCCCCTCCATCACTCCCCCCCCCCCCACGTCTACTTCTCTCTTTCCCTCCCCTTCTTTCTCTCTCTCTTTCTCCCCTCCTTCGCCAGCCTTCCTTCCTCTTCCTGTTTTCCTTCCCCCTCTTCCCCTTCTCCCCATATCTTCCCCCTCCACCATCGTTTCTCTTCTCCCTCATCTCCAACCACCCTTCCTCTCTCCTCCCCTCCCCCTCCCCTCCCCTCCTCTCCCCTCCTCTCCACTCCCCTCTCGTCCCCTCGCCCCCCCCAAACACTCCAAACGCCAGAAGGGTTCCCATGAGAGAGAGGAGGGGGGGGGGGGGGAGGAAGCAAATCTCCCCTCAAATGGTACTTGCTCTAGCCTAGGCCTATGAGAGGGGCGAGAAAGTTTTTGTAATTACCCTCCCCCTTTCTCTCTTAAGCTCTCTCCCCTTCCTTCCTCCCCCCTCTCTCTCTCCCCTCACCTCCTCCCCCCTCCCCCCTCCCACCCCAAATCCCCTGGGGCATCGCTAAACAGGGGATTTAGCTAACAGAGAGAACTTTAAATTAGGATTCGAGGATTTATAAACTTTGCCTCTGTGAGGGGAGGGAAGAAGGGGGAAGAAGAGTAAAGAAAGGGGAGAAGAGGAGGAAGAAAGAGGATGGAGAAGAGAAGGACACGAAAAAGTAGAAGAAAAAATAAAGGGAAGGGGATAAATAAAGGGAGAGAAAGAGGAGAAAAGGGGATTAGAAGAGGAGGAAATATGAAAGAAAAATAGAAGAAAGAGACTAAAGATGAGGCCAAATAACGAAAGAGAATAAAGGAGAGAAGAAACAAAACTATAAAAAGGCTTATCCATAGTACCCTCTCATAGCACCACATTTCCAGAATCCAACGAAATGTAGAGAGCAAGGGAAAAGAAAATGAATAAAGAAAAGAAAAAAGAAAGAAAAAAAAACATATCCCCTCCCACCCCCTTTTAAAAATCAGATCCCCGCCCAAATCGCGCATAAATCCACTTCTTTTCAAGTCGTCAAATCCACCCATTCCCCCCCCCCCCCCTCGATTACTTTTTCATCCCCCCTCCCAATCGGCGATCTGGCCCCCCTCCTCCGCCTCTCCCTCTCTCCCTCGCCACCCCCACCCCCTTCCAATCCTCCCCTCCCTCCTCTCCCTCCCTCCCCTCCCAATCCCCCTCCATTGAGCCTCGTTCGGGTTAATCCACCTCACAACGTCCGCGGATTATAAGGAGGATTCGCCCGCATGCCAAGAGGTCTCGGAGCCGCGTCGCCGATCACTTCACTTGCCGTCGAGGAGGGGGAGGGAGGGAGGGAGGGGGAGGGAGGGGGAGAAGCGAGGGAAAAGGAGAACGGAGAAGCGAAGGGAAAAGGGAGGGAGGAGAACGAGGGAAAAGGGAGGGAGGAGAACGAGGGAAAGAGGGAGAGGAGAATGAGGGAAAGGAGGGAGAGGAGAATGAGGGAGAGGAGGAGGAGGAGAAGGAGAATGAGGGGAGAAGGAGAGGAAGAGAAGAGAATGAGGGAAAAAGGAGGAGGAAGGAGAGCGTGGGAAAGGAAGATGGAGTGAAAGTGAGGAGGAGAACGAGGAAAAGGTAGAATGGGAAAGAAAGGAAAGGAGAGGGAGAAAGAAAACGTGAAAGACTAAAAAAGTAAAAAAAAAAAGAGCGCGAGACAACCAACTGCAGGACACGAGAGCACACGAAAGGAAGGCAGAGACCACACGAGAGCCATTCCAAAATACACAAGTAAATCAAACGCATGAACTAAAAACACAAATAAACACCGTAGCCCCTTCTTCTAACTAAACTCGAGAAAAAAAAAGGCGAATTCTACAGTTTTATCACTACACCCGAAGCGTCAGTCGGAAATGGAAAACCCGTAAAAAGGGGGAGATTGAGAGAGAGGGAAGGAGGGAAGGAGGGAGGGGGGAGGAGAGGGAGAGAGGAGGAGGGGGAGAGAGGAGAGAGAGAGAGAGAGACAGGAGGGAGATTGAGAGAAGGGAGAGGGAGAGGGAGAGAGGGGGGAGGGAGAGGGAGAAAGAGAGATGAGAGAGAGAGAGAGAGAGAGAGAGAGAGGAGAGAGAGAGAGAGAGAGAGAGAGAGAGAGAGAGAGAGAGAGAGAGAGAGAGAGAGAGAGAGAGAGAGAGAGAGAGAGATGGAAGGAGGAGGAGAGCGAGCGAGCGAGAGAGAACCAGCCAGACAGAGACTGAGAAAGGGGAAAAAAAAGGTAATTTCCCCCAGATCCCTACACAGCCGCTCACCGAAATACACTAATGCCTCAACAGATGCTGCAATTGCACGAAAAAAAGGGGGAAAAATTATGATACCCACTTCCCCAATCCCGGTCGGATAGAGTGAAGGTGCCAGGGTTAAATGTCTTCTAATCCAAAGTAAATCCTGAAATAATCCTGAGTAATCCTACACGTGCCCCCTTGGTAACTGAGCCTGATAACCCCCCACCCCCCACCCCCCCAGGCTCCCT